GGTAGGTAGGTAGGTACCTATTTAGTTTTTTAACGAATGAACCTAAAATATAAAAACATTTTAAGCATATTGGCAACGGTGTTGTGATAATAGTCATGTCCCAGAAAAACACGTACTAATAGTTCAAACAAATAACATAGGCGTGCTCAGACCTCTGGGTCAGGTAAGGCTAAATTAAATCTGATCACCCACCCCCTTGTCATGGTCACACAAGAAAAAAATTAGACATTTTCACATTTGACTACAAACTTTTAAGTGACCCTTTGGTTGGTTACTGGAAAATGTAAGCAATCAATTTTCATTATTTCAAACATACAAAATTCATCCATATTGATTTAAATTTTAATCAAATATAATCCAATAAAACAATTTATTCAAAAACGTTCAATATATAATATATAATATTAAAAATTGTCAATTAACATTATTCATTTTAAATCAACTTTAGAGATATAAATATTAAAATTTAGTTGAGCTGAGTAGTGGACATACATTTTGCGGGGTAACCCCGTACCACTTAACTCGGCTCATCTAAACTTTAAATACTTATAACGCATAGACTGCTCGCACTAAATTAGATTTTTATGTATCGAAATACTTAGAAAAATATTCTACTTTGGCATATGAAATTCAAACTCTATGTTGTCAAAAAAATTAGAAGAATAAAAAATATTTTAAAATATAATTTTTTAATAACAAAGTTGTTTTGTAAGCGACTCAAAACTATGTAAAAAAATATTTTAAAAAACAATCACACTTTTTGAAATAATGAGTGTTTAATTTTAAATAAATCGCCCTGTTTAGTCTCTCGGGTAAACACAAACGTTTAAAATCTAAAAAGGCTATATACCTACTTTTAGTCATGTCTTCATAAGGTACCAACCCACCCACGTATAAAAAAGCTCAGGTAGGGCTAAAGCCCAATCAACCCTACCCGTGCGCACGCCTATGACAAATAATTAAAACCAACTTGATTAAATATTAATTTATGAAAAAGTATATTAAAAAGCATTATTATTATAAATGAAACAAAACTATGAACTATAATGGACCGTATTTTAGTGCGCCCCGTGCCTCACTGAACATAATATAGGTATTTCTATACTTTTAGCTCCATAATTTCTGTTAAAATATTAGGAAAATGTATTGAGTACCTTAAAAATGCTAAATTTGATCTTTTACTTACAATATATTCATAACAAATTATCATAGAAGGTTAGGTACTGTATTCCACATACTTATATAGTTTAATTTAACTAATACATTCTAGTAGATTCTGAAAAAATTTGTTTCCAATACTCTGATCAGTCTGATCATATAAACTATTAATACTTATAACCAAAAAACTACGGGTCTGAACTTAGTTTATATATAGATCTAAATAATCCAAAACATATATAGCTGATAAGCAATCTTTCGTAAATCTTTTGACGTTAGTCCAAATAAACGTCCTTCCATAAGTTGAAGATAGGATAATAGCTCAGGTTCTTCAGCAGTTGATAACACTTTAGATATTGGTCCTAATGCCACTTTGTTCCCAGTGTCATAACTAGGATCTAAGTTCTTTTGTTTAATCTAAATAACATTTAATTTACATATAGGTAAGTAGGTATACTAAATAAAATATAGATAAGTAAATAATATAGTAAGATTGTATCTAACCTTTCTTTCTAGAGTGCTTTTAGGTACATTAAATTCAATACAGGCATTACGAAATGTCATGCGTTTTTCAATTACTTCTTTCACAGCCTCCTCATATTTTCTGAATCCCAATTTTGGCGTTTAGAAACTCTGACTCTTGAACGTGACATTTCTAAAAACTAAATTATTTGAAAATTCATTAAAATACAAATAATAAATTGTAAAACTTGCTTTAAAATAATAATAAATTTAAATATTATACCTATTATTTATGTTAATATAATATAATATCATAAATGTAGTTAGCTATATAATTTAAATGGCTTAAATTTGTTCAAGAGCATGATTATTAAATATAATAGAATAATTAAATTAAATGTATTAAATTATTATAATATTTGAAAAAATGAATTGAGATAAGATGGGACATGTCTTCATCTTGCCCCATTGCATTTTTCCCGTGCGTCTTACCTCAAACAGTAATAATTTAACTTAACGTTTCTATTAAACTTACAATCAGAATGAACTCTACCAAATTTGCATTAATCGAAAACTAATAATATTTTCTAAAAATTATATAGGAGTAATATTAAGAATAGACAATTATTTACTTACTTATTCACTATTTGATGTCTGCAAAATTTTACATCGCCTATGCCCTATGGCCGTTATATTGAATACGCAGGTGCACCGTATCACTTTAATTATTTGTTGATATCAAATAATATTATTAAAGTGTGACCAGCATAGCGCATTTTTTGTAAAAAAAAATTTTCCCAACAATCAATAGTTTTTGAGATACAACGATGTCCCATCTTACGTCTAGTCCTCGTCTTACCCAGGTTTCTCTATAAAATACTTTTATTGTAATAATTTATTTAAAAATTTTTATTTATTTTTATTTATTTCAACTTACAACATACTACATTGGCACATATTATCACATAATATTTACATATTCACATATTAAGTTGATACCTACTCCCTGTAAGCAAAGGTTTTGGCGGAAGTAGGGAGTCTTTTACAAAAAAATCTTAATAGTATAATATATAAGGACTGTTAAACAGCATCATATAATTACATTTTTATAAACATAAATTAAACATAATAAATTGTTGGCAATATATATAACAAAAGAAATATTATAAAATGTACTGCTATAGTGCTATGTCATAGTTAATAGTATAGTATTAACTAAAAATGTTTTAACATAATAAACACAATAACTTATTATTAATATCTATAATAAAAGAGATCAAATAAAATCTATAGAGACAAAGAGACATTACTATGCTAGTCAGACGATTTCATGTACATATTTATAATTGCTAATTTAAATTTATTTTTATTATGTATTTGTTTAATGTCTGTAGGAAGTTTGTTAAACAATTTAATAACTTTATTTATATAGTAATTTTTCATTAATGTGGTATTTTGTTTAATTTATCTTAAATTACCTTTATCCTCTCCTCTTGTTTTATATATATTATTATATTCGTAATCAGTTTTATTAGTAAACACTTTAATGATTGATAATTGTTCATACAATTCTTCTAAAGTACATATTTTCAATTTAACAAATAAATCGTTAGTATTGATGTTTTTAGTAATATAATAATTTTTCATTAGGACTCTTATTAGCATTCTTTGAGTTATCATTAATGGTTCTAGTACATTATTATAAGCTGATTCACATACAATCAGACCATACATTAATAATATTAATATGGATTGGACTAACGCGAAGTATATCATTTTCAGTCCGTCAGTATCAAATACATTTCGTAGTTCCTTAAAAATAAAAAAACATTTCCTTATACGGTTTATTACTGATTCAACTTGTGGTTTCCATTTTAGATGCTCATCAAATATTAGATACACCTAAATATTTGGCAGAAGCAATTCTAGATATACATCTACAATTTAGGTTACATATGTTAGTTTATTACTTATTTTACAGTTATTGTTATGTAATTTAATAGTAATTTGTTCGGGTTTGTTATAACTGGACAAGGCAAAGGGAATAAATACTGATTTTTTTATTTAGCATTAAACTATTTTTGGCGTACCAATTATTAACCCGTACTAGTCCTGCGTTTGCTTTGTTTTCCACTTCCGACCAAGTTTCCCCCTCGAAAAATAAAACCGTATCATCTGCAAAAGCTAGTATATTGCCATTTATATCTATATTTAATAAATCGTTTACATAAATGTTAAATAGTAACGGACCTAACACTGTCCCTTGCGGTATACCATATTTTACTGTACACGGGTCACTTGTTTCACCGTTAATTCTTGTTGTTTGAGATCTATTTGAAAGATATGATTTAAACCACAACCATAAGATATTGTTACCTAATACTGTTTTCAACTTTTTTAGAAGTAAGTTGTGCTCTATTGAATCAAAAGCTTTAGCTATGTCTAAAAATATACCTAAACATCTTTTAAATTTGTCTAAAGATTCATAGATTAACTTCGAAAAATAAGAAATCGCTTCTTGGCAACCCATATTGTCCCTAAATCCAAATTGTTTATCACTTATAGTTTTGTTATTAAAGGTGAACCGATTTAGTTGTATCTTAGCACACCACATATTTTGTTACTTCACACAGTCTCTCTTTAATTTCAAATTTTTCTTCAAATTATCCCAAATTATCTACAAAATATAAATGTAAAATGTAAATTGGAAGACTTGATTGAGTAGGTACCTACCTATTTAATAATTTATCTAAAAGAGATGGGCCTGGTCGCCTCATTACTATATCGAGGGGCCATGGTGCAAGTGCCGTCCATAAATATCAGCAAATATTTAATAATTTATCTAAAAGAGATGGGCCTGGTCGCCTCATTACTATATCGAGGGGCCATGGTGCAAGTGCTGTCCATAAATATCAGCTACATTAGAAATACAAAATGAATATAACAGTAAATTATAAAAAAATATTACGAAATGTACTATACTCATATTATATTATGATTGTATAAATTGGAAGACTTGATTGAGTTGGTATTTAATAATTTATCTAAAAGAGATGGGCCTGGTCGCCTCATTACTATATCGAGGGGCCATGGTGCAAGCGCTGTCCATAAAAGTCCACCAAAGTACCAGAAAAAAAAGAAGATTAAATCAAAAAATAGAAGGTACCTACATCATAAACTTTTATAAAAGCATGATTGTGTTAGTCACAGTGTTGTCTAAATGGTATTGTCTTATGTTTTCCCAATCTAACTATACACAATACTGAACATTAATGAAATCACAAATATTTATACAAAAGAGAGACTGTGCCTTGATTTACAAATATTTCTTAAATTTACTTTTTGCATAGAAAATATGAAGGTGGCCTGGCAGTGGCTAACTAGCACAAAATCTTAGGGGGGGCTATACCTTGTCTTGCACTAAACAAAAAGGTTTTTAATAGACATCTAATATATTCTCGGTTCTGAGATACAGAATTCTTATGTACTAAATTCAATTCAGAAATCACTGATCCATTCTTTTTAGAAAACGTATAACTTGACAATTTGCATGTAGACTCTTTGTGTGCATTACATTTTTGGTGTTGAGTAAATTTCTCTATTCCTTTCTTCCAATTTTTAAAACCAACATTAGTGAAAGTCTTTTCTGCATTTTTCGATGGAAATACTCTACAATTGAAACAAAAAGCTGCTTGTAAATGCTCACTGAACTCAATCCATGGGAATTGGCTATACCATTCAGTTCTAAATGATCTACCATTTATCTTGATAAATTCAACATCTATTGGTTGGTAAGGACCATAATTTTCAATAAATAATTTAAATGCTGCTGATGTTTTACTAGCAGGATCACGCACTGGTATATTATTAGCCATACAATTACCATATACAGTGAAAACTCTTTACAACGAAACTCTTTACAACGAAAAACTCTATATAACGTAAACATTACATAATAATGGTTGGTTTGCTAAACAACCCATTAGACAATTCCTTCTCTATAACGTATTTGTCACTCTCAATAACGAAACAATATTTTATGTTTCATAATACAATTTACGTGTTATCGTATCTATTACATATGCATATAAACTATAAAAATAATCGGCAATAATGCCGACAATAATTATTGTTTCATGAAGATGATCCAAAGTTATCCCAAAACATGGGAGAAATTCATAGAAAAATACAAAAACAGTATTGGCAAAATAAAAAAGTCCAAACTAAGATGACAGACTATTTTAAATAAAGTATAAATATGTATAGTATAAAAATTAAATTATATTTAATAAGTAGGTATGTATAAAAACAATAATAATTTAATATAATACGTAAATATATATAAAATAATGTAAAAATAATGATGTGTTTGATATATAATATTACATAGGTACATACCTTTATACATAGATAATTAAAATTTTGTTTTTTTTAAACCCTCTCTATTACGAAAACTCTCTATAACGAAAGAAATCTCTTGGTCCCTTCAGATTCGTTATAAAGAGTTTTGACTGTATTTAAAATAACAATAATAATAATAATAATAATATAATAAGATAATTCTTGTTTCTGAGGTTAGTAATGTATAATATTAATTGAATATTTATAATGTTAAAATTATTAAATTTAAAATAATAATAAATAAGCAACAATCTACTTTCTATATATCCTTAAACCCTTAGTAATTAATTTACATGCAAAACTAATTAATATATTATTAACTGTTATATAAATATTTATATAATATACAATATACCTATATAATTAATTGTTTTTAATTTGTATTAACTTACTTTATTAACTTGATTTATTTGATCAATGATTAATGAATAATTATAATTAATTAACACATAAATCATAGACAACAATTTTATTAACACAATACACAAACATAGAGTTTTTGGGACTAACTAATAAACAAAAACATCAAATTATCTGAGATTATTAGTATTATTTTTAACTGTACCAAACATCCATAAAATTCATAAATATTTAAATGTTAAAATAATACACTTTTGAATAACATAAATTAATATCAAATATTACCAAGATACCTACCTTCTAAAATATTGTTAATTCCTTGAGAATTTGATACTTCTGTCAATGTATTTTTCTGACTGGTATGATCTAAAAACAAGATAATATAATATTAGGCATAATATTATTTAATTTATATAATTTAACTATATTGAATACCTTCTAAAATATTATTTATTTCTTGAGAAACTGATGTAGTGGCTATTGGTACACTTGTTTGATTGGTCTGATCTAAAAAAAATGTTTATAACACAAATAAAAAATGATAAAGTAATAATAACTTGACATTTTGACTTACCATTATTACCTGATACTTTTATAAAAAAGTCACCAATGGTTTTTCTTTTCATATTTGTAAAAATTAAAAACACAATAACAAATATTAAATAACAATTGTATACTTAATAATTATTTCAATATTTGTATATCAATTATCAAATCAAACAACTAATTCGACAACATTAGAACAATTCTTCCAAAATCCAAAATAAAACAATATAATGATAAGCACTGTCTGAAAAATGATAAGAGTGTTTTACGGCGGTTACCACTCTTACTCTGTTTACTGTGGCAATGCGGCATAGACCTGAGGTTAGGTCTTTGCAATGCGGGCATAAGTAATTTACAATTTGGCCCCCAATAAAAATTTAAATTAAACTTATGACAGGGGGGGGCAAAAAGACACTATTGCCCCCTCAATGAAATATCTGGGGGGCAGTTGCCCACCCTTGCCCCCCCCTAGATTACGCCTATGTAACTACGTATTAATTCGCCTCAAAGGTAGAAATACAGCTAAATTTTTAAAGGTTTATTAATATTTTAGAAATCAATTAAATAATTTATTTTGGGGGGGGGGCTATTAGAATTAGCCCCCCCCCCTAGTTGCGCTTATGTGGCCTGGGCTTTTAAAATCAGAGTATGGGGGACAAGGCTGGGATTTCATATTATGAATTGAAATATTTGTGGACACTGGATGACCAAAAGGACTACTCTCCATATCATGTTTCAATAACTAATAAGTACAAAAATAAAATTAATTGAATACGTTCTAAAGTTGCTTCTAAGCTCGACATTATCCGAGTATTTTTAAAAAACATGAAGCTAAAAAAATCATTAAAATTGTTTTTTTATAAAAAACCTTTCATCTGCATGTGTTGCCTTCAAGTGTGTCTAACAAGTGTGAAAGATATCACTTTTTCATTCAGTAGCCCGTTCAGTAGTTATCATTATAGGCTTCAATAGTTTTAAAAAATATTAATCACTCTAATATTTTAAACTAACAAAGATTAAAGATTACATTTTTTTTAAATTTAATTAAGATCTGCTGAAATTGATACCTACTTGCAAGACGGGAGAATACATGCTGATAAATCATTAATTAAATATGTATTAAATCATTAATAGCTAGGTACTTATTACTTTTACAATCTACATCCAATCATAGGTACTTCCAAGTTGTGATCACAGTCTTATTGTGTCAACTTTGAATCATATACTATGAATGGGTCCACATCCCGATAATTTTGAGCACTTATTGATGACAAGTCTCTGACTCTGATAGATGTGAGAACAGAAATGTCTCATATTTATCTATGCGAATTGGTATGTATCAATAAAAATGTCAGAGACTCGTTGATCGCTTATATGTGCTTCAAATTGTTTACACGAGTTAGTATCACAGGGCTGTATCAAGGGACAATTTATGGGGAAGCAAACATAAATATGACACCCCTAATTCAGTATAGGTACGCCTTTTTTTTACAACTAAATAACCAAAAAAAAAATATTTATCGCTACGCTCTAACAAACATTATACAATATACTTACAAAAAAAAACTATATGCTTATCTACTCATGCTACACTTAGACAGGTATTGTATTTTACAATATATTTAAACACATGAACCACATACAATTTATACAAATTAATACATTATTACATACACAATATGTCTACGTTTCATTATTAATTTCAAACTCATGTATCTTATATGGTATATTCTATACCTATACCTATGAATTATTGTAATGATAAACGACTAAGGAAATAGGTATAGGTACTATGTCTAAAATTTTAAATATTATATAACACTAACATTATCCTAAAAATTGACCAAGTTCAAAACATTCGTTATTTCTTGTATGAATAAATAGTATAGATACAAATAGATAGGAATATAATAGATATTATATTCGAATAACAAGCTACATAGTCTCAGTAGTCAGTACTGCAATATAATGGTAGGTGGCAATATCGTATAATTCTGGCAGTTCGGTGCCCCGGCGGCTATAACATGTCAATAAATTTTGTGAATAATGATAATATTATAAAAAGTTCGATTAGATATCTTTAATCGTGATTAGTACGTAGGTACTAGGTATAACAAAAACAAGGTCCATAAACAGCGTTCTCTCTACAAATTTAGATATTCCGACAGTAAAATTGACATCGTAAATTCGTAAAATAAAAATTAATATTTAGCCTACTATATAATTTACATTTCTTATATTACAAACGACCTTTTCGACTTTTTGTGGGCCTATTGTTTAATTTCTAATTTTTTTTTTTTCTAAAACGCATTTGCCTGCAGGCGCCAACTCTCCGCTTCAATTTTTCATTTAAGAATTTAAGTATAGTAGAAATATTTTTATAGACATGAACATTTATAACCGGCATTGGCCCTATGAATCATCTTTCTTTAATGATTTTATCGTTTTGAATAGTTTTTTCTGTTAAGTTTCTGGATTGTTTAGTTTGAACTCTTTCATGTGTGGTCCTATTGTTTAATTTCTTCTAATTTTTTTTTTTTGTTTTGTGTTATCTGATTTGGAATTTGGACATTTTCGTTTGAATTCTTTAATGTGTTGTCCTATTGTTTAATTTCTTCTAATTTTTTTTTTGTATTCTAAAACGCATTTGCCTTCGGGCGCCAACACCCCCCTTCAATTTTTTTTTTTTAGTTATTTAACTGTAGTTAAATAATATTTTGTTTAGACTTGAACGTTGATAATCTGCATTTGCCCTACGAATCATCTTTCTTTAATGATCTTATCATTTTGAATAGTTTTTTCTATTAAGTTTCTGGACATTTTAGTTTGAACTCTTTAATGTGTGGTCCTATTGTTTAATTTTTCTAATTTTTTTTTTGTTTTGTGTTATCTGTTTAAGATTCTGGACATTTTATAATTTGACTCTTTAATGTGTAGGCCTATTGTTTAATTTCTAATTTTTTTTTTTGTTTTCTAAAACGCATTTGCCTTCAGGCGCCAACACCCCCCTTCAATTTTTTTTTTTAGTTATTTAACTCTAGTTAAATAATATTTTGTTTAGACTTGATCGTTGATAATCTGCACTAATTATTTTAAATAGTGTTATCTGTTTAAGAATCTGGTCATTTTTGTTTGAATTATTTAATGAGTGGTCCTATCGTTTAATTTCCTCTTATTTTATTTTTTTTTGTTTTCTAAAACGTATTTGCCTTCAGGCGCCAACACCCCCCTTCAATTTTTTTTTTTAGTTATTTAACTCTAGTTAAATATTTTGTTTAGACCTGAACGTTGATAACCAGCATTGGCCCTATGAATTATCTTTCTTTGATGATCTTATCATTTTGAATAGTTTTTCTGTTAAGTTTCTGGACATTTTAGTTTGAACTCTTTCATGTGTTAACCTATTGTTTAATTTCTAATTTTTTTTTTTTTTTCTAAAACGCAATTGCCTGCGGGCGCCAACATCCCCCTTCAATTTTTTTTCTTATGTTTTTTAACTCTAGTTAAATATTTGGTTTAGACTTGAACGTTGATATAATGCATTGGCCCTATGAATCATCTTTCTTTAATGAACTTTTCATTTTGAATAGTTTTTTCCTGTTTAAGCTTCTGGACATTTTATAATTTGACTCTTTAATGTGTAGGCCTATTGTTTAATTTCTAATTTTTTTTTTTTGTTTCTAAAACGCATTTGCCTGCGGGCGCCAACACCCCCCTTCAATTTTTTTTTTTTAGTTATTTAACTCTAGTTAAATAATATTTTGTTTAGACTTGATCATTGATAATCTGCACTAATTATTTTAAATAGTGTTATCTGTTTAAGAATCTGGTCATTTTTGTTTGAATTATTTAATGAGTGGTCCTATCGTTTAATTTCCTCTTATTTTATTTTTTTTTGTTTTCTAAAACGTATTTGCCTTCAGGCGCCAACACCCCCCTTCAATTTTTTTTTTAGTTATTTAACTCTAGTTAAATATTTTGTTTAGACCTGAACGTTGATAACCAGCATTGGCCCTATGAATTATCTTTCTTTGATGATCTTATCATTTTGAATAGTTTTTCTGTTAAGTTTCTGGACATTTTAGTTTGAACTCTTTCATGTGTTAACCTATTGTTTAATTTCTAATTTTTTTTTTTTTTTTCTAAAACGCAATTGCCTGCGGGCGCCAACACCCCCCTTCAATTTTTTTTTTTTAGTTATTTAACTCTAGTTAAATATTTTGTATAGACTTGAACGTTGATAACCAGCATTGGCCCTATGAATTATCTTTCTTTGATGATCTTATCATTTTGAATAGTTTTTCTGTTAAGTTTCTGGACATTTTAGTTTGAACTCTTTCATGTGTTAACCTATTGTTTAATTTCTAATTTTTTTTTTTTTTTCTAAAACGCAATTGCCTGCGGGCGCCAACATCCCCCTTCAATTTTTTTTCTTATGTTTTTTAACTCTAGTTAAATATTTGGTTTAGACTTGAACGTTGATATAATGCATTGGCCCTATGAATCATCTTTCTTTAATGAACTTTTCATTTTGAATAGTTTTTTCCTGTTTAAGCTTCTGGACATTTTATAATTGGACTCTTTAATGTGTAGGCCTATTGTTTAATTTCTAATTTTTTTTTTTTTGTTTCTAAAACGCATTTGCCTGCGGGCGCCAACACTCCCCTTCAATTTTTTTTTTTAGTTATTTAACTTTAGTTAAATATTTTGTATAGACTTGAACGTTGATAACCTATATGGGCCCTATGAATCATCTTTATATTTTTTTTTACGCAGATTCAAGCTTATAACAAGCATCGCAATATTTTAACTAATCTGCTTATAGTAGGTAGGTACATTGTACATAGAAGACAAAATTAAATATTGTACATTACAATGATACAGATTACAACGCGGGAATATATATTTATTAATAAATTATGGTCTACGGAGGTAGTCAAGATAACCCGGATGATTCCAACAGGTAGTCTTGGGAATATTTGGGTAGTCGAGATAACCCGGAAGTACCATTTCAAATATTCTTACATGAATAGTGTTTGCAATTGTAGTTTCATGATATGTTATGATCCAAATTTAATTACAAGATAAATAATATGACGTGCATTAACTGTGCAAGCATAATTATTTTTAAGATAATAATAATGTGTATGTTATATAATTTGTAGACAAACTGGAGAACGATTTGGAATTAGTGAAAGTTCTGCTTTTAGAGTCTTTAAAAGTACCATTTCTTCAATTTCCAACTTGGAAGAAAAATACATTGTATGGCCCAGAGATAAACGTATACATTTATTAAACTTTAACTCAACATATTTTACTCATAATGTTTTTGAACTCCTCAGGATTAGCAGCCCAAAGAAACATTAACGGATTTCATAATCTTAGAAAAGTGCCTTTCCCCGAAGCGTTTTGTGTAGTTGATTGTTCATAAATACGCATTAATGGTTCACTAAGTGATAATAGATACCTCAATCGAAACCACTATCATAGTGTTATTATACAAGGAACTTGTGACTTTGAAGGTACCTATTGTATTTAATAAGTTGTATACTAACTGTTTATTATAGCCATAAAATGAATTAGGTATCATTTATAAATATATTTCTCCATTTCAGGAAAGTTCATTAAAGTATTTGTGGGATATCCTGGGTCATCGCATGATGCTGCAGTTTGGGTTAACAGCCCTGTACATAAAAAATTGATACACAATCATTATGAAATCATTCCTCCAAACTGTTTCATCTTAGGGGATTCAGCATATCCATTATCAGAGTTCCTAATGAAATCTTATCGTGACAATGGTCATTTAGAATTACACCAAAAAAAGTTTAATACAATATTGAGTTGAAGCAGAGTTGTAATAGAACAAGCATTTGGTGGTCTAAAGGGTAGATTTCGAAGGTTAAAAGATATTGAAACATTATGACGTGTTGAAGCAGTTTCAGAAACCGTTATTGCAGCTTGTATAATACACAATATGTGTTCAGATCAAGGTAATTTTTTTTGATTCAGACATTTTTCTTTAAAAGTGCGTTTCATAAACCATTATTTATTTTTTTTATTTTTTAAACAGACTTAGGTGTGGATAACCTCACTGATGATTCATTTTTCAACTTGGAAGAAGACGAAGACAACATTAGTTCACAGATAACCAGATCATCCGATGTTCTAACTTTAAGAGAATCTATTGCTAAAAGCTTATAAGCTATACGGTTTCAATTTTACTTCTTTACTTTTACTATATTACCAGTGTTAATATTATTTATACATATAAATCAATTCCATTTGTACTTTTTTATTTTTAATAAATTAATAAAACAAAATACGACAAAGAAATATTTATCATGGATTATCATTTATCACTTACGGATTGAATGTACCTAAAATAATTACATTCTACATTTTAAAAATTTCCAGAATAATAAGGACCTGGTTGTCTGTTTGACATCTTGAACTATCAAAATACGGTTTTAAAAAAAATTATGTTTTTAAATTATGTTTACAATTTAATCATCTGTACTCTTGGCTGCTCCCGACTTTCTTCTAGCGGCGCACGCCCCGGAGCCTGGTTTGTGCGCGACCTTCGGCAGACCAGCGGTTTCGCAGGCCACGCAACGGTCGTCACCCTCGGCGCAGTCCTTCATTAAGTGGCCTGCCACTCCGCACTTCCAACAGGCGCCCGTCCTGTCCTCCGCGGTGCAGGATCTGGAGTTGTGGCCGAAGGCCTGACACCTGAAACACCTCTCCGGTGGCAGCGTTCTTGGCCGGACGCGGCACATGGTCCACCCGATCGGGACCCTGGCGATGCTGGCGGCAATGCTCCTGGGCATTTTCGCCGTCGCGATCTGCTGTCCGGATCGGGTGCTCCATATCCTGACGTCGCTGACTACGTCCCTGTCGATCCTGGCTGCCGGATCGTCCTGACCGGGAATCGCGTCGCGAAGCGCCTCCAGGACTTCCGAGGCGGAGGCGGTTGCATCGATGTCCAACACTTCGACTTCCACCTGGACCCCGAGCTGGACCACCTTCCCAACGGAGTCGCCAAGCTTGCTTGACATGGCTGAAGCGATAGTCTTGGCTGCTTTCGTTGAGCTGCTTCCTTTGGGTAGCTCCAGGAGGAGACATCCGTCCCGTGTCTGCCTCATAGTGACGCTAGTGCCTATCTCCTCCCTGGTCAACCCGCAATTCCGCACTGCCAGAATGGTGTCCCGGTAGGACTTTCCGGCCGCGTTTTGGATTAGGATCGCCGGTGGTTTATTGGAGAAAACAGGCGGGCGCTGGCGGGACCCTGCGGCGGGTGGGAGTGCAGCAGCCGCCGTTTTTCTCCCTTGCCTGGATCGTCTGCCGACGACTTTCGAAAACTCCTCGCCGTCCGTTTCCATGGCGTCGGTTTCGGCGTCCCGTGCGGTCTGTTTACCTGCTACCTTCGGTTTCCTTGACCTGCGTGCCGAGGCTGCCTTTCACTCGATGACCGCGTCACTATCCCAATAGCCCGGGGTCAGGATCATGTCCGTGGAGGCGTCGGATGTAGATGCAGTGGGAGCGCTAAAATTGGGCGCATTAAGCAGTTCCCCATCCATGCTAAGCAACGAATTTAGACACTCAAACGCCTCGTTGTTGTGCTCGAGAATCCGCTCCATTGCGGCCCGCAGAACATCGTCCGACGCGCGGTCATTAATCATCCTGGCATCCCTGTGTACGTTAATGAGGTGCGACGTGACTCCCTTAAGTGTCGCCCAAAGATCTTGCAGCCAGGTTACTGGGGACTTCGGGGACGTTGTGATCTTCATTTTCTTGACCGAGGGTCCGTCGGATGAGTTCGGCTCAGACATTTCATGCGAGGCGGCCATTGCTCGGAGAGCGGTCGGTTCGGAGACTGGTTGAAGCGTGGCGTCGCCGGGGGCCTGGCCCCGGGGCTGGGATGAAGCGCTGTCCCTGTCCGCGCTGTTCCTGTTGGGGTACACTTGCAGGCACTGTCCCTATCTTACCGCACTGTCCCTATCGGGGTGGCGGTGCGGGGCTCACTGTCCCTATCGGGGACCCGAACTCCTCCTCCGGGGGGGGGGGTAGGGGGTCCTGGTTTGCTGGGTCTTGTCGAAATCTCCGAAAGCTGCTAGGGTGTCGTCGAGGGGGCAAAATTTTCGTCACGAAGCTCTAGGAGCAACCCTGACGGAGATACGGCCGAAAAACCGTGGGGAGCGTAGAGGGGGTCCTCTGGCTTGGCGCGCAGGCCCGGTGGGGGGCCGCACTTGCTTCCTTGGAAGTGGTGCGCGCCAGCGGAGTCCTCTTTGCGACTTTAACTGCGGGTGGCAGGCGCTGGTGACGCTGGGGTGTAGCGGGTCGACCGGACTAGGAACGGCTCGGGAGCGAACTCGACGGAACACGTCTTTCCTTGGCGGACGACTCTGCGCGACTGACAGACAAATTACCTGAAGATGGAATTATCACAACAAAAATCTCCAATTATTCAAGCAATAAGTACATAATGTGGTTAAAATAATTATTTGTTTAGTTTAATGTTGTTTTATAATTTTATTGATGTATTATATTTATTGTAAAAATCTTGCAGCCAGGTTACTGAGGACTTCGGGGACGTTGTGATCTTCATTTTCTTGACCGAGGGTCCGTGGGATGAGTTCGGCTCAGACATTTCATGCGAGGCGGCCATTGCTCGGAGAGCGGTCGGTTCGGAGACTGGTTGAGGCGTGGCGTGGGGTTGGGATGAAGCGCTGTCCCTGTCCGCGCTGTCCTTGTTGGGGTACACTTGCAGGCACTGTCCCTATCTGACCGCACTGTCCCTATCGGGGTGGCGGTGCGGAGCTCACTGTCCCTATCGGGGGCCTGAACTCCTCCTCCGGGGGGGATAGGGGGTCCTGGTTTGCTGGGTCTTGTCGAAATCTCCGAAAGCTGCTAGGGTGTCGTCGAGGGGGCAAAATTTTCGTCCCGAAGCTCTAGGAGCAACCCTGACGGAGATACGGCCGAAAAACCGTGGGGAGCGTAGAGGGTCCTCTGGCTTGGCGCGCAGGCCCGGTGGGGGGCCGCACTTGCTTCCTTGGAAGTGGTGCGCGCCAGCGGAGTCCTCTTGGCGACTTTAACTGTGGGTGGCAGGCGCTGGTGACGCTGGGGTGTAGCTGGTCGACCGGACTAGGAACGGCTCGGGAGCGAACTCGACGGAACACGTCTTTCCTTGGCGGACGTCTTTCCTTGGCGGACGACTCTGCGCGACTGGACGACTCTGCGCGACTGACTAAATAATTACAGGTAGATAATAGGTATATATTTTTTAAATAATAATCGAGTATTGTAAAAATATTTTTAATTTCACCTTAAGTCATTACTAATGAGCTGATTACTCATTATGTACAAAATAATTACTATAGGTACATCGTTTTGATTTATCAATGTATAATATATATTATATATGTATAAAATTTTTTATATGTAAGCCCCCCCCCCATTGAAAATAGCTGTGTACGCCACTGTAGTGCACAGACCCCAAAAAAAAAAAATTAAAAAAGGTGGGCAAGTGGGTGCATGCTACCACGAATTAAAATATTCAGGATACACAACGAGAGCCTGTTACCAACAAATTATTATTTCTGACGATTCTTGTTCATCGTATTGACACAGAGCGCTAATACTAATCAGCGGCAAAGTTTTGAACTAATCCAAATTTATAAATATTTATAAATATTGGCATTTTGGCGGTATTTATTTTTTACTTTTTTCTTGTTATTAATTTAATTTGGTTTTTGATACGAATTAAGCTATAAGAGGTATGCAATTTGTGTTTTTGAGTTCTTTTTCAGTGTCTAGACTAATAGATATTACTATATTATTAATACTTCTTAAAAAAAAGGTAGATAACTAATTAATATTAGTATGTCTGCTAAATGTTGCGTACCAAATTGCCAGTCATTGGCAAAATCAAGATTTGCTGTCCCAAAAAGTTCTATTATTGTCTGGGAGAGGGAGATTGGTATTTCCCTGAGTGCAAAGTCTAAAGTTTGTAGTGCACATTTTGAAAAGGAGGATATAATAGATGCCTGGGAGCAGGGGCGCAATTTCAATGAAAAAACTGGGGGTGCCCCTCTATTTTTTGATGTTATCTTATGGTAATGGATACCTGCAACGGCTGTAACCCGTACAATACCCATTCAATAATTACAAATTTAATATTAACTAAGTAAAGCCTAAGAATATGCAAGTGCAAGATAAATATATTATTATTTATTTAAAAATTAATTAATAAGCGCAATAACTATTACATTATACAAGAACATTTATTTTTATAAAATTGAGTATTGTCAGTATTGATATAAATTAATTGATATTTTTGCTTAAAGTTAGTTCATTCTAACATTATTCTTCTTTCAGTTTGAGCAAAAATATGTATCACTTATTTTATATCAATTTTATTTGTTAAGTCCTTTTCTATATACAATGTAGACAAATCTGTCAATCTCTCTTGACCCATTGATACCCTCAGCCAAGTTTTTATTTTTCTTAGGGCCGAAAATGATCGTTCACAAGTAGCTGAACTGATTGGAAGTGTCAAAGCAACCTATAATACATTAAAAATTATTGAATTGTCTACATTATCATAATGGAACAAAAATATAAAATAATATTTAACAGTATTAAGTACTTGTAATAATTTGTATAAATTTGGATAAACATGTTTTTCAACTGATTTCTTTAAATCTTGAATATCAAATTTTTGGTTTAATGTTTTCAAAGAGTTTTGAGCTACAATCATTTCAGCCATTAATGATTTAATCTCAATATTTAATAAATCCTGAAATCACACACACACATGCAATAGGTAACATTAAAATATGATCAAATATGATTATGACTCATGTGAATATTTAATAATGTTATAGTTACTTTATAGTGGTTAATAAAATATTGACTTTCTTCAAAATCTAGTGAGAAAAAATTATCAACAGCAGAAGCCATTTTCATACTTTCTTCTGAAAAGCGTGTTTTTAAATTGTTAAGTACTGTATCCAGTATTACAAAATATATGTGATTTCTCCAATAACATTCAACTGAATTTTCTACATTCTCAACTTCAGCAGCAGTTGTTGTAGTAACATTAAAATCTGCTAAGTAGTTTGGTTCTCTTCTATTTCGCTTGGAATCTAGAATTAGTCATAACAAAACAAGCATGAAATATCATTAAATTTAGTTTTAATAATGATTCATATATTAATTACACTTAGACTTATATTGATAACTTACAACTTCTTGAAGGCACTTCCAATGAAATATCATGTTTATCTGCAAATCCTTTTATATTAGTCCATAAAACAGAAAATTCACTATCACATCGTTTTTTTTCAAAAGTATCTATAACGGCTTTAATAATACCAACAGCTTTCCCCAATGTTGCAGTCTTTTGTTGTAACTTATTACTGAGTATATTAACATTGCACAATACTTCATGAAAAATAAATAAATTAACTACAAAAGACCCTTTGGTTATAGAAGAATAAATACCTGAAATTTAAAAATAGGTAAATTAGAATTAGATGATCAGAATAAATATTTAATATCATACAATTGTTTGGTTATTACAATATTAGGTTAATACTAATTAAATTAATGAGATAGAGCCACTTATATTATTAATTACCAATAGGTAGCTTGGCTAACATTTCTATCCGAGTTTTCTTCAATCTCTCCATGTAATATTTGTAAAATAGCAGCAAAATTTGTAATGACTGCAACGCAGTTTTTATATCTACATACCTACCCAACGTGTATCTGACATATGGATCATAGTTTTATTTTTCATGCCTAACTTTTTTTGAACTTCTTGCAACTTCTGATTCTTTGAAGGAAATGAAAAATGAACGTATATAGATTCTAATACGTTAAATAAATTTCTTGCGTCCTAATTAAATTTATAAAATAATAATTGTTAATTTTAAAAATCATAGCTTTTTAATGACACGATAAAATTAAATAGGTACCTACTTTGATATTTTTACACATGTCTACAACAACTAAGTTTAACTTATGTGCCATGCAATGTGTATAAATTGCTGTAGGAAATTTATTTTTAATTTTTGCTTATTTTAACTAATTATCTAGCTTCATCACACATTAAAGCGAAAAATCCATTTGTCTGTACTTCTAAAATTATTTTGTCTCTAACCATTTGAGCACAAATACTTAAAATTTGGTTTTGAATTGACCAACTGGAGTAATTAGTTGTACAATTAAATTATTTTTCAAATTGTTGATCAAATTTTTTTAGTAAATGACAAGCCTCTGAAATTTCCTGTAAAAATGTGATATTTGTTATGAATTTTTCAAAAAAATATTTGTTTATTTTAAGCACTTGGTAGGTACCTTGGTTCAGAGAGTTTTTATCTTCAAAGTGGCCCCGAAGTGGGATTCCTTGGCGGCTCAAATATAACAAAATTTCAATTAGTTTTGTTAAGTATTCTCGATTTTCATTTACTTCTTTTTGATGTCCTTCTGATAGCTTAGAGACTACACTACCATTTGATTTACTTGACAAATAAGCAGTATACTTTGTCTTGTTAATGAAGTGTTGTTTTGAAGAAGAATGTGAGTTACACTTCTCTCTAATCTACCTAATTGTCCATAAAAAGCAATGTAAAATTATTATTTACACAATAATATAGTATTGATTAGAATGCCGAATTGCATATATAAATATTATTAAAATAGAATACAAGTAATAATAACTACTAGGCATTTTTTAACTATGAATGTATCTATATTGTAGTTAACTGGTTAAAATAGTAGGTAACTTACTTTTCTCCAATTTTGAAACCCCTTAGTAGTGAAAGTGTTAGTGTCTTCATTATAA